GGCTTATTTCACATATCATAATGTTCTCCATGTTATCACACATGATGGTATTTCTTCCTTCTAAAGGTTGAATAGTATTTTGTCATGTATCTATACCAAGTTTTCTTTATGCATTCATCATTCACCCATTGATGGATAATTAGATTGATTCTAAATGGAATCTTGTCTATTGTGAATAGTGCTGCAATGAAGACAAGACAGCAAATATCTAATGAGATATCATGTCACACATGTTAGAAAGGATATTATCAGCTCTATGAGAAAGACTCACATATTAGTTATTGAAAAATTCATCTTTTGCATAAATAAGTAAAATATTTGTAACGTAGTAAGTAAGTAGCAATCAAGATGGCCCAAAATAATTTTCTAAAAAAGAAAAATTGTTTTGGATATATACCTAATAGTAGGAGTGGTGGATCATATGGTAGCACTATTTTTAATTTTTTGAGGAAACTCCATACTGTTTTTCAGCTGTAAAACAGTATGTACCAATTTATATACTGTACAATTTATAGGCTATACCAATTTACAATCCCATCAAGAATGTACAAGGGATCCTGTTTCTCTACTTCCTCACCAATGTTTATCATTTTACTTGTTTACTTGTCTCTAAAAGGATAACAGGAGTGAGATGACATCTCTTTGTGGTCTTGATGTGTAAGTCCCTTATGATTACTGGTACTGAACACCTTTTAACCTATCTGTTGGCCATTTGTATGTCTTCTTTGAAAAAATGTATATTAAAGTCCTTTACCTATTTTTAAATTGGCTTTTTTGCTATTGAATTGTATGGATTCCCTATATATTTTGGATATTAGCCCTCTATTAAATATTTTCTGCCAGCTGGGTGGATGATTTCTGGATTAATATTTGTATACTAGGGTAGGCATAATAAGAATGGGTGGCATAAACAAGAGAAATTTATTTTCTCAAATCCAGAGGCTAGAAGTCTCAGATCAAAGTGTCAGCAGGTTTGGATTCTCTCTTCTTGGCTTGCAGCTGGCTGCCTCCTCACTGTGTCATCATATGGTCTTTTCTCTGTGCATGTAACCCTGGTTTTTCTCTCTTCTTATAAGGATACCAGTTGGATTAGGTTAGGGCTTCAACCAAATGGCCTCATTCTAACTTAATCACCTCTTTAAATATATCTCCAAATTCTATTACATTCTGAGGTACTAGGAGTTGAGACTTTAAACATGAATTTTAAGGGGATAAAATTCAGCTCAGAATACTTTTTTCTGTGGTCATCTGATTGGTATGACCAGTCCCTGCTGCAATCATTTCACTTTTTTATTGAATTCATTTTTCAATGTCTAAAGTGGTTTCTTCCTTATATAGCTTGAACATATCCTAAAGACCATTGTAGAGTTGTCACCTCATACTCATGATGATTATTTCCTTTTCTCTAGTTCAAATATGTATTACTAAAGCATCTAAAATACTTGCTTCTTCCTGCTCATTAGATCCAATCAGCATATTTTTGTCAATATAGTGAACCAGTGTGTTATTTTATGGAATGCAGAGATGCTCAACATCTCTGTGTACTACATTAAGTAGAATTGGTGGACGCCTAAGGCAACCCTGTGAAGGTATACTCTTGACCTTCTTCCTGTGGTTTTTACAAATAGGTATAGAGAAAATGGTATTACTCAAATCAATAGCTGTATACCAAGTGCCAGGTACTGTGATGATTTGTTCCAGTAAAGATACTGTATTTGAGACCGCAGCTGCAATTGGAATCACTCCTTATTAAGTCTATAATAATCCCAAGTAATTCTCCTAGATCCATTCTGCATTGGTCAAAGTGGTGAGTTAAGTGGGAATTTGATAAATACCACTACTCCTGCTCCTTGCAAGTTTTTTGTGGTGACATTAATCAGTGCAATTCTTCCTATTGATGCAGGATTGCTTCTGGTTTACTATTTTGGAAGAGAGTGAAAGTTTGAGGAGCTTCCACTTAGCTCCTTCTTTTACAAATGGCCCTATTCATTGGTGAGCAAGCCAATGTAAGGAGTATGTCTATTCCAATTTCATATTTAAAAACTAGAAAAGTAACCACACGGTTGATGTGCCGACCAACTGAACTAACAGAACCAACTATGAGTTGGACATAAGCTAAGACTTCACCTATCACCTAGGCAAGGTATACTCAAGCTTGGTTTGAAGGTTGTGATGGTATTATTCATCCTCAAGAATTAGCATCAATTCATACCAGTGTCTAGAAAACTTCAAAAGGTCAATGTATTTCCTTTTTGCCAATGCACCGTCACTTAGGTTAAGAGTCTCATGTCATTTAGGGGAAGATCAAAGGGCTATGTCACATGTACTGTGGCTATGGTACAGTTCCCTCTAAAGGGGACACAGATTCCTCTTCAACCAAGGGACTCTGGGGATGTGAATTGCTTTAGGTCTGAAAACTTAGAAGCTGTGACTGTCCACTGTGGCAACTCAGTCAGATTTTGGCAAACCTGATTTAGGGTTTTACCTGTTATGAATGCAAATATTCTATTTTGGCTGCTAACTATTTTGTTTTGAAAACAGCTCTGTGGGTAAAGGAAGTCTAACTGCTTGCTTAAGGTAGAAGTGATCACTCTGTCCCTGTTGGTTAAATGCTGCGTGGCCTCTGCTACTCTGGGTTCTGTCATCCCCCCAGAAATCAGAGAACCTATTTCAACAGTGGCATCCTCGATATAATACCTAGCCTCTGGAGGGGAACATTTACAGAGATTTTCAAAGATACAAATGTTCCCTCATCCATGTCTTTCTCAGTCTTCAGTGAACGGGGTGTCTTCTGGGCATGCATGAAACACAGTTTGGGAATGGGTATGAAGTTGTGTATGATAAGTACAGTATAACATTTTTATTTCTCCAATCATTGATTTACCTTTTCTACTTTATGTCATGAAGTTCTGGCATATCATTTTTACACATTGTAGGCCACATTTCCATCAATCATCTAAGTTGTTACAGCCACCTCTAGCTGCATAAACTAACATACACAGCACAATAACAATATGTTTTGGCTCAATTTAGTATTTTCCCTCCTCTATGGTCTAACACCTTTAGAGTTTACTCCTGCATATAGTCTGTAGATATCTGGCAATAGATAGAGGGAGAAGATTGTGGTGGGTTTTTAGGAGAGAGTGAATTTTTCTCTTAAGGCATCTGCTTTGGACAAAGCCAATTGCTTCTGGTGGCTTTTATGGAAAAGATATGTGTTTTAGAGAAATACACACGTGAATCGTCACAAGGTTTTCAAGCAGAGGGAGGCTAGTCTCAGATGCTGGAGAGCAACCTACTTCCACTGGTAAGAGAGGCTCAGAGTGACTGGAGGAGGGGGATTGGTTTAAGATAGACAGTTTCATTTGCATTCAACTCACTCCAAATTTTAGGATCCTATTAATTACCAATTAATACTTTAACTTTTATAGAGAAACTTGGCAAGTATGTGAATTCAATAGTAATTATAACTCAGTAACCTGAAAATTAAAATTTTGCATTTGATTTTCAGCAATATCATTCTTGTTGCTACAATAAGTAATTCTTTTAGAACTGTCATGCAATCTCTTAGATTCCCCTATCATAACTCTGAGAACTAGTGGACTGTGCTGGTCATTTCTCTTTATAAGCACTCAAAAGTACTCTAAAGAATTCTTCCACACCTTAGTCCCTATAATCACCTCTATAGCTGTAGCAGTCAAGGGTAGCTGGCACTTGAGGATCCAAGGCACTTCCTCAGGATCAACCACAGGTGATTACTTAATCCAGATGACCTCCATTCCGTGAATTATCAGCATTCCATTTCTTTTTGGCAAGGAGCTCATGCCCCAAATCTCAATCAAACTGACCTTTAAAATCCCATTTTGCAGGTCTGTCTCTTGGACTACTTCATGGACAGGGGAGCCTTAATAAAAACAATTATTAACTATAACAGGGTGGTAGAATACTAAAGGATTCACTAGCAAGAAAGAAGACTCTAGATAATATAGACATAGCAGCTATGTCCAGAGGTAATCCTTGGGCTGAGAGACAGTAGTCTCAAGAAAGATTCCCCCATTCCTCCTAGAGCTAAGACACAGATGTTTTTGGAGAGCATAGAGTCTGGCTTATTGACTAGCAGAGAAGTCACCGTGGTGGTGCTCTGTCTACAAAACTTGTTAAATATCTGCTCTCTGAAACTTGCTGCAGATTGTCTTTAGGGTCCAGGAAAGCTGTTCATGGAGTTCTGTCTCTCCTCCATTACAAATCTACTGGTTACCATGCATTACTGGAATTCAGGAGTGGAGAAAACCATATACAAGAACCTGCCTACCAAATACACCATAACCAGGAACTGAAATCCTTTTCTTCAGCACCCTCTACTGACAAAGTCTCAGTCCTAGAGGGCAAAGGAAAACCTATTTAAAAGGCCCAGATCAATTTTCACGGTATAGTAAAAAAGGGTGAATTTGGAGTCCAGAGGCAATAAATCAATAATTGACACAAAAATCATTTCTCACATTCCCTTCATAGATTTTTGTAGTTAGAACTCTGAATCTGCCTGTATGGGCCTTTGCCAGCCTCTTTTCTCCCAGGTTTCACCAGGATGTCACCAAAAGCAAAGGAGGAAAGGACGAGCCCAAACAAAATTCTCAGATTTCTTGTCTTTCTTTTTCTTATAGCCCTTTACGGAGCAACCTTCCAAGACATTCTGCATCTGGGTGTTCCAGAGTAGAAAATCTGGACATCAGAAGGAACGTGGGGAAAACTCAGCCCCTGTAAATCGTGGGCTGCGGGGGCTAGAATGACACTGACTGCTGGCCTCAACTCCTGCAAAGCGGTCTCTCATGTCACAGAAGCCTCCTGAGGTCTTCCTCCTGCCTGGGCTGTGGGAGGCAGGCGCGGGGCGGGCCTGGCGGGAGGCGTATTGTGATTGGGCGCCGGGGGGCCCGCCCCCTCATCCCGGCGCGTCGAGAGGGGGCGGGGCCAGCCGCCTGCCCAGCTCCCGGGCTGCGGGCGCCTATTGACCCAACGGCAGCAGAGCGGCCGCTGTCTCCTGATCGTGGCGGGCGGTACTCGAGCTCCGAGTGTCGCTGGAAAACCGGTGCTTCCTTTCGCAGCTGCCGCCGCCATCTCCGCGTTTTCGGGGTGGGAAGGAAGGGGGGAGTGCTCACGGCTGCAGCTGGAGCGGGCTTCTCTCCGGGGACGGTCCTCTCCTCCTTGCTGTCCTTTTCCTCCTCCCTGCTCCTCTGCCGCCGCCCGCCCCCTGCACCCTCCCGTGCAGCCCGGGTCCGGGGGAGGAAGGTAGGGGCGCCGGGTGGCGGGAGACGCTGGAGAGCAGACGCGCACGCTGAGGAAACTCCTGCTGGATCTGTGCGCCCCGGCGCCCAGGGTGCACCCCGGCCCGGGCTGGGCGGTGGCGGCAGCAGGAAGGGGCTCAGTCGGGGGAGGCGGGGACGGTGCTGCGGGGGCGGGCTCGGCTGTCCCGGCGCTAAGTTGTGGGTCCGGGCTCCTCCGGTTCCAGTTCCTTCTCCCCTCCGCTCCTCCGACCTTAGCTCCGCACTCTCCGCCCCGAGCCGCCGAACCCGCGCGTTCTCTGGGTGAAGAGGGCACGCCTGCCCTCGTCGAGAAAACTTTTCCTGCCGACTCAGTGGGGCGGCGGTGGCAGGAAGTCCGGGAGCGACCTCTCCTTCGCGGGCCTGGCGCGCCCGACCGGGTGTCGGTGCTGATCTAGAGATCAAGTTCGTGGGAGCCCCTTCCCGGTTGCAGGCCAGTCCAGCCTCGAGAGGGACGCCCAGCCCAGGGGAGGACAGCCGGCCAGGGCGCAGGCCAAGGGCGCGTGCTGGCGCCGGAGTCGAGGTGCGGAGCGCAGCCGGGACCCGCATTGGCACCCGACAGCGCGGAGAGTGCGCAACCCCGAAGCAGGGAGCCTTCGGCGTTGGCTTCCTGGAGTCCACAGTCCGCCGTCTCCTCCGGGTGAGGACAGTGTTCTGGCCCCGAGTCTATCGAGGAAAATGAAGTTGAGCCGCCAGTTCACCGTGTTCGGCAGCGCGATCTTCTGTGTGGTGATCTTCTCGCTCTACCTGATGCTGGACAGGGGTCACCTGGACTACCCTCGGGGCCCGCGCCGCGAAGGCTCCTTTCCGCAGGTAGGCACCTGGCCGCCAGGGCGCGGGGGAGACCTGGGGGCCTGTAGTTACCAGCTGCTCTGCGACTTCCTCGCGCCATAGCTCAGCTCCCGGGCAGGGTGAGGCCGAACACGAGGGGGTTTCGAACCTCTTCCAGCCTGGGCTTTGCATTGCTGGGTCCACTGTGACCGCGACTCGGTGTCTCCTCTCCGGCGCGCCGAGTTAACAAAGTGCTGGGTGGCGTGCGGTGGCAGCATAGCGCTCGGGTAAGTGGCCATGTTCCTGCACTGGCACCCGGGCCTGTGGAAGGGGCCTCTGTCACCTGCTGGCTGGGGACCGGGCGCAGCAGGAGGCGCCCCCTCGTCAGCATGGAGCCTCAGTATCTTTGTAAGTAATCCCTGGGCTCCCACTGGGTTAAACTGCCGGTGGCAGCCCAGACCTCCTGCGCGCACAGAGTCCCGGAAATTGATCAAACACATCCCACCTGGGCGTTTTGCTTTTTCCTACTTCCACTGTCTATTAAGAGAGAAAAGTTTATTTCGTGTTGAGGCCCTTTTAGATGTGGATCGTAGATAGAGTTGATTTTAGTGTTGTCATTCTTAAGCTGTTATTACGTGGGGTTTGTTTGGAGCCAGCGTGGGGAGCCAAGTGGGGAAAGCGTGTGTTATACTCCTGCCGGAAGCTGTGGGGCGCTCAGTTCTGTGCCGGGTGGCCAAATCTGCAAATGAGTTGATTAAACAACCCGTCTGAAATCTTTTATGTAAAGTAACTAAAAGTAAGCAAAACTGACACAACCTGTTCTATTTGAGGGTACAGTGCAGCGAGTGCGAGGTCAGTTTGTAGCTCTTTGCCAATGACTGGAAATTTTAATAAAAGGTATTGTGTGGTGTGCTCTGTAGTGAATGAACCTGAAGAACCCAAATGCTGACAAGCTTATCTAACAACTCGTTTGCTTACAGATTGAAAAACCTAGAAGGTGACCAAATCCATTTTTAAATGTTTTTCTTTGTGACTGTATGAATGACCAAAACATATCCTTGCCATTTCATTCTAGGGCTAATGGTTTGGGTTTGAGATGAAAGTACAAACTTTACCTGAATTATTCAAGTGAAAAAGATCTTTGTAATGGATCCTGTCGCCAATACAGAGTGCTCAAAATATTTTGTAGATGATCAGTATTAAAAATCTTGTTGAGACAGATGTTACATTTTTTTTAAAGCTTCTGCTTCTCCTAGGTGATGTGAAAGAGAAAATACATTGCAAGCCCTGAGTTGACTTTAAATCTTGAACTTAGAGTTGCCTAGTGCTTGTTGATGAGGTAGGGAAAAACAGTTTGAGAAAGGTAAAATCCTCTGTAGCCAGAGCACAAGGTCTCTAAGCTTCATTTGATATGTATAATTTGGGGTTTAAATTTACTGCAGTTTCTCTCTCCCCCCAACATAACCTCATTTTCAGAATTTTCTCCACTTACAGGAAAAATCATAAAAACTGATATATTTCGTTTAAAGTTTTTGCTTGAGTAATGGCCTTTGGCTTTGGCTTGGTGGTCACTTGGAAATGATTTATGCAAACATCTGCATGGGGTTCTCTGGCAACCTTGACATTTTCTTCTGTTTCTAAAGAAGCGAGTGACTCATTCAGTTACTGGAATTGTTAGGCAAAGTTAATTCCACTATTTTAATATCCATCCTTAGTACCCCTTGAAGAGCTTAAGTTCTGCTTAAAGTGTAAAGCATCTGATGGAAAGTGACTGGAAGAGAAGGGCCTACATACGTTTTATGTGCAAGGAGAGCTGGTTTGGAAGGTGAAGCTTTGTGTACTTGATGTTGCCCTTTTCAGATTTTCACTGTAGGAAAAAAGTGCTCTGATGGTTTAGTGTTTGATGGGCCACTGGGTCCCCAAGTAGATAGACTTTATAAGCTATCTATAAGCTTATAGAGGTAGACTGTAAACTTAACTCTTATGTATTTGACATTATTAGCCTGTGTTCCTATAAACTTGGTTCCCACAACCACCACCCAGTAGGTGTGGAAACTGAGGCACAGGGAGATTACCTTGTATAAGGTCCCACAGCTAAAACCTGAGATTTGAACAGCCTTTCCAGTTTAGTGTCTTAGCCCTGTACTGTCCTGACAATGCCTGTGGTTCAGGTTCCAGCCTGCTTAGGGAAAGACCTGATGTAGAATATAAACAATGTTACCCTGTGATACCTTAGCTTAACTTTTTTTCAAAGGAACTTTTATTATGAAGTCCTAAAGAATGTAGCCCTTTTCTGAAACATTAAGTGCTTGAGATTTATATCTTCCCCAGAATGTCTTCTAGTTTACTTCACAGCCAAACATTATAATGAAAACCAGTATGTAGCATAGCATCCAGCATGTGAGTTGATTTAAAAAAATTTTTTTTCACTACTTCTGACTATATGTTCATCTTAATTTAACAACACTACCGAGCATAACAAAAATATATTGCAATATACTTCTTTGGCAAGTTTGGGCCCTGAAGTCCTGCACTGTAGTAGTGTCAATATAGCCATTCACTAAATACCATTTTTAGTGTCTAGTAGAGTAATGTATCTGAAAAGGTATTGAATTTCTCCATATTGTCCATTTTAGTTTTCTTTCATGTGATATGAACTTCAGTAAGGTATAAGATCTATTTTGTAAGCAAGTGATTTTTAAGACCATCTTAGACTAAGAGAAATCTATTTTCTGTTTTGGGGCGTTTTTCTCTCCTCAAAGCTATGTTTCTGTCACTTGACCATACTCTGGGTCATGAGTGGACTCAGTCAGGGTGCTCCACTTTCATGCTGGAGCAGTTTTCTGCCTCTTACAATAGTTTTTGGAGGGTTTTCCCCTGTGCTTCCAGAAAGAATTCCTTTGAGGGCTAGAGGCAACATGCGGCCTTCTTTTTTAGTTTATATATATTTTTCAGGATTAATAAATCTCAGCTAAAAATTAATAAAAAATTCCACTATGAATGAGAGGCTGGACAGGGCCTAATGTCTTGAAAATGCATTATTGTACACTGTAATACTTTGAGAAGATTGTAAGGAGAGCATTGTTACATGTTTCTCTATGTAATATGAAAGTCTTCCATCATTCCAACAGGCAGATTTTACAAGTTACTATGTGCGGCAGATTTTATAAGTTACTTACTATCTGTTTATCTTACTTAAGATCCTTTGTGGTTGGATCCAGAGAACTAAAAGTAACAATTTTTTTTAACGAAATTTGTTAACAAATTTGTTGTTAAAAATAACAAATCAGGTTTTGTGTAACTAATAATCAGTGTTTAACTCTTGTAGTATATGGAATAAATGTTAACTTTTGAATGTCTCTGCAGAAGCTGAGAGAGAAGAAAAATGTTAAAGAGGAGTTCACATTTAACCTTTGGGCTCAGATAATATTTATCAAATGAGAAAATTATAATGTCTTTAAGTATTTGATTGAAAGCCATTCAAAGGCAAGGACTTTTATGCCTTTTAAAAATCTTTTATTGTGAGCTGTAATGCACATATAGAAATGTGTTTAAATGCTTAGAACACTATTATTTTTTGAGTCCAACTCAGTAGATATTAATAAACATTGACTCATGGCAGTAAGTAGACCATAATCTCCCAGTTATTTTTTTGTTTTCATAAATCTGTAAATCTTAAGAATGACATAAAAGAAAAATATGATCTTCCACCTCTTCCTCCAGTCCACTCTATTTAAAAACCATAGCACTTGTTGCTGTGGTCTTTTCAGGCTTGTGTAGGGGAGTTTGTCTCTTCTTGTGATGTAATGCTTGAAATCTATGACTTTTGGGAACTGGTGGAACTTTGATTGTGGTGGCAACCGGCAGTTAGGAATTCAAGAACTTTAAATCCTCTCGAGGCTAGTCTCCTCCATTCCCTCCTGAGTTTAGCATCCTATGGGACTCTGCCCAGGCTGTCTGAGACTTAAGCTTCAGAGGAGCCAACTGGGCCAGACTTTGACTGCATCTGGTCTGAAGGTTTTAATTTATTATTTTTAAATTGATTTGAATGTTTCATTCCCAGATGAGGGAACAATATCAGGCCCTGAACAAATATATTTGTCTCATAGAGATGTCATAATTGTATTTATTGGAAGAGATTGTCTCTGTTACTCATTAATTAGCATAAGGGACATTTGGACTATGGACAGAATGTTGGTAAAAGTGATCACTTGTATTTGTTGTTTGCACACTGATCCAGATACTGCTTTTTGTGACAGCTATTAAAAACTTACCTTTATTTTAAAGACTGAAATGAGTAGCTGTTTCCATTCAACAGTCTCTGTTTCCCCCTTTCCACAGAGGAAAATTTTAAGAACATGGGAGGATATTGAACAGCTCTGGTGATCTGTGGTTGCTGGATTATAAAGATCTCATTGCATTTTTGGCCCCTTCTGTCTTAGTGGGCAAATTCCTGGTAGCAGCAGCTTTTGTAAGAGTTCATGTAGAACTAAAGGAAGGAACTTTCAAGTAGTGAGCTTTGCTGATTCTTACAGTTGTTACTAGGACGTTAATCAGGAGAGGAAGTAGAACATTTAACATGGGTTTCTGTTTCAGTTCTCAAGCCAAGCTGCTAATTTTGAGGTTGAAACTATGTTTAGGTTTAAACAGGTTTTGAGGGTTGATTGTACTGTAATGGAGCTCATACATCATGCTTTAGTGAGTGTGGCTAAATTTGCCTTGTGATAGAGAAGTCATTTGACTTGAAAGAACACTGTCTCTTGAGGTCTTAGGCTTTTGGTTGAGTAGTTCAGATAATATTTTCTGTACTTTGATGCAGAGAAATGCATGTAAGTATGTTAAAAATATTTTAATGTTAATTTTCTACATCTACCATATTGTTAACTAAGGTAAGATCAACCTTGAAGCACTCTAGTTTAAAACTGTATGTACTCTGACTTTCCCTGCCTCTACTCTAGGGTCTTACAACCCCCTTGCTATTGACATTTTGGAGGGAGAGGTTTTGGGTGCTGGGGCTGTCTTGTGCATTGTAGGGTGTTTAG